ATTTCCTCTGAGAGCCCCTGGGCTACTCACTGGCCTGTTGCCATCAGTTTTCTCCATTTTAGCATCTTGATCATTTACTTTGTGGCACATGTCAAGTGTGTAATTCTGTATGGCCCTCTTAGGCTATGACCTTCATGCAGAGACCATACCTGTGTTCATCCCTGTTCACACAACACCGAGTTGAGTGGAATGTACACGGGGCTCTGTAAAATATGTATTCAACAGATGAAATTCAGGGAATTTAGATATGTGGGTTGAATCTCACCAGTTCACCAGGAAAACTGGAGAAATCATCAGTGGCTAAGTATCACGATTGAAAGACAAGCATACAAAATCAGGATNAGGGGCTCTGTAAAATATGTATTCAGATGAAATTCAGGGAATTTAGATATGTGGGTTGAATCTCACCAGTTCACCAGGAAAACTGGAGAAATCATCAGTGGCTAAGTATCACGATTGAAAGACAAGCATACAAAATCAGGATCCATTCAGCCCGGCCAGTGTTGCTCAGTGGTTGAGCATCGACCTATGAACCAGGAGGTCATGGTTCAATTCCTGCTCAGGGCACATGCTCAGGTTTCAGGCTTGATTCTCAGTAGGGGGCATGCAGGAGACATCCTATCAATGACTTTCTCTTGTCATTGATGTTTCTATCTTTCCCTCTCCCTTCCTCTCTCTGAAATCAATAAAAAATATAAATTAGAATACATTCAGATTTGGGTTCAAGTCTCAATGTTATTACATACCAGCTGTATGAACTTGGATTAATCATCTCAATTCTATGCCCCACATCATCTTCATCCATGAAATGGAGAAGATAGCACCTGATTGTGTGATTGTGAAGAGTAGGCCTACAATATCCAAAATATGTGGGTAAATAAAAATAAATACCATTATTATGTGTGTCTTTAAGTGTGATAAGGAAGATCATGAATTGCATGAACTGAAGTTATTTTGTCACAGTGGGTCCTCAGGTCTCAGCCTGAGAGTGGGAGACAGTGGTCTGACCCAAAGCACTAGGCTGCTGTGAGAAAAATTGAATTGTTGCCAAGTCTTTGGACATACAAAGTGCCTGCAACAAGTTTTTGAAGGTCAAAGATTTACAGTTTCTTTTTCTCAGCATCCAGAGGTTATAAAAATAGTGGTTACTCCTTATCTTAGACATTAGTCTAAATGCTGTACATATAGTAGTTCACTTAATCCTAACAATTCTTTGAAATATTATTTCCCTGGCTCTACAGATAAGGCAACTGAGACACAGATATGTTAAGAAATTTACTTGAGATCAGGGAACTAGTAAGCAACAGAGCTGGGACTTCAAGCCAAGTAGCATGGCATCACAGTCCACACTTTAAAATATATATATATATTTTAGTTACAGTTTGCATTTCAATTATAGTAATACAAACAAATACAGTTTGTATTAGCTTTAGGTGTACAATCATATACTTTACAATGGTCGTTAGACAGTCATATACCTTACAAAGTGTTCCCCCTGATACTTCAAGTACCTACCTGGCACCATACAGAGTTATTACAAGATTATTGACTATATTCCCTATGCTATACTTTACATCCCACTGACTGTTTGTAACTATCAATTAGCACTGCTTAGTCCCTTCACCTTTTTCACCCAGTCTCCCACCCCCCCTCCCCTCAGGCAACCATCAGTCTGTTCTCTGCATCTGTGAGTCTGTTTTTATTTTGTTAACCAGTACACTTTACTGCCTCTGTGGCAGAAAGCCCTGTGGAATATAAAGTTACTAACATGAGTTCCAATCCTTACTCCACAACTTACTAATTATGTGGCCTTGCACAAGGCTATTATCTTTCTTAGCCTTTGTCCCCTCATTTGAAACATAGGACAATGTTATCTTTTTTAAAAGATATGTTTTTATTGATTTTAGAGAGAGAGGAGGGAAGAGGGAGAGAGAAACATCAATATGAGAGAAGAACATTGATCGTCTGCTTCCTGCATGACCCCGACTGGGGGTCAAGCCCGCAATCCAGGCATGTGCCCTGACTGGGAATGGAACTGGTAACCTTTTAGTGCATGGGAGGACACNTCCTGGGAATGGAACTGGTGACCTTTTAGTGCATGGGAGGACACCCAACCAACTGAGCCACACTGTCCAGGGCCAAGGTTATCTACTCTGAAGGGATCGTGACATTTAAATAAGTCAGCCTGTGTAGTTATGAGGTGCCAGCTTTGTAGTTGGTGCTCAGAAGAAGGTGGCTAACGTGACGGCTCACAGTTGCACTAAAATCCACCCATGGGTCTTGATGTAGTTGAGATTTTACAAGCCTTGATGGCTTGTAATTGAGAAATATGCATTTGTGGCAGGTGATCAATACGCTCATTTGGCAGCCAGGTTCCAGATGAAATAAAGCTAAACGATGATGCAATTAGAATATACAAACAAATCTCCTACAGAAGCCAAATAGACTTGACTGCCTTCTCCATCCTAATCAAGTCGCCGTCTTTGGAATGCATCTGGAAGGCATTTTTCTCAGTGAATCTGGACCCAGCTAAATAAACAGAGCTTCTTTCCCTCATCAGCTCTTTGCTTTAGCTGCTTTCTTCTTGGAGCACAGTTCCCCCCACCCAGGGGTAGACAGCATGTCAGCACGTAGGCCTGACTCCCTAAGTGTGAAGGACGTGCTGCACACCTCACTGACAAACATTGTCCCCTGAAATTCACTTTGTCATTTCTTTTCTAGTTGTCAGACAGAATGACAATAGCTGGCAATTTTAATGGGGAAACAGTGCAGGAGGCTGGCTCTCTACAGTCTCTGGTAAATCTTTCTTACAAAAAAATTCTTCTCTTTTCCTTTATTGGAGTGTGTGAATTACTAAATGACAAGGCTGTCTTCATGGTCACCCTCACATTAACCTCCAGCTTTCTTTCCCAGTATCCACAACTGCAGTTTATTAACTTGAAATTGCATCGAAACTGCTACGTCGGTGAGCCTAAGAAATTGTAACATCAGTCAATGTTTTAGTTGCTCTTTGTTCAAATCCTAGATCCCCTACTTATTAGCTCTGTGTTAGTCCTACTGCCTCAATATCCTCATTTTTCAAAAGAGGATGATTGTATTGCCTGGCATTTGGTTTGATCGAAAGACTAAGGGAGGTGACAGTTCTGACATTACTGCTGGCACCTAAGTTCCCAGTGCATGCTAGCTATTATTATTACCACCCTAAATTTTGAGTCAAATATCAGAAATTAGGCTAATGCAGGTCAATTAATTTTTTGTTCTGTACTTTCTGTTAAGCTTGGCTATACTGCAAAGAACATGAGCTTCAAANTCATCGTAAATTTTGAGTCAAATATCAGAAATTAGGCTAATGCAGGTCAATTAATTTTTTGTTCTGTACTTTCTGTTAAGCTTGGCCATACTGCAAAGAACATGAGCTTGAAACAGATAAACTTGAATTCAAATTTTAGCCCTACCACTTCTGTTGAGTGAGTTACCTATCCTCTTTGAACATCAGCATCCTCATTTGTAAGCTCTTGAAAGAGTGAATATAATTACAGGGTAGGATAAAGGTAGGTTTACAGTTCTTCCTATGGAAAATAATACAATTTGTAATCAATAATAAAATCTATATTTTATGTACTGTAAACCTACTTTTGCCCCACTCTGTATAAATGTCTCCTCCCAGAAATTTGGAATTTTAGCTTAAGCTAAAGCAAGCGAACTTGTGAGTGTGGTAGGTTTCACAACTGTTATGTATCCCTGAAACATCTTCATTCACACCAGCATGATTAAAACTGCTTCCAAACTAGCCAATCTTAGGACCAGGAAACTAGAAAGGGACTTTCAGTATCATCTTGTCTAAAATGCATTCATTTTAGAGACAAAATGACCAAGAATAAAAGAAGCTAAGTGACTCATCTTAGATGTCACAGCCAGTAAAAAAAGGCTGAGCCCAAGAGGAGAAGCCATCCTAGTCTGTCAAAGCAAAGCAAAGCAAAGCAAAGCAAAAGAACAAAATAGAAAAACAGTGAATTCCAATGAAAATAGAGTTTGAAGGAAAGAAGAGGGGGTGAGAATGGGGAAGGGGAAAATCCAGCATGTGACATCATTTGGAGCACCTGACAGTTCCAGGTGCATAGTATGGTGAAGTCAGTGTGATAGGCTCGCAATGAGGCAGGGCTGAGGGGAGGCTGCCTGGAGTCCAATCCTAACTCCACCACCTTGGAGCTGTGCAATCGGGAAAGAGGGACTTAACTTCTCCACGCCTCAGTTTTCTAATGTCACAGTCTCTGTGTGGTTGCTGTGAGTGCTAACGAGACATGGGAAACATTCAATCCATTTAGCTGTTCCTATTATTAAATGTGAAGTTGACTGTCATCTCTTTTTTTCTTTTTCTCTCCCGCTCTTAAAACAGCTATTTTGAAGTCATTGAGGTATATTGTGTTTTTTCAGATAAATGCCACAGAGGTAACACTGTGATGCGGTGTGAAGGGAGGCGACACTGGAGGAAACAGGCACTGATGTGTACGCAGGGCCAACTCTGTGTGAGGCCCTGTGCAGAGAGCTTCGCACATCTTCTCTTAATCCTGATCAGAAGGATTAGGATTACTCCTACTGCCAGAGCAGTAGTTGGTAACATCGCCCTCATTTTACAGCTGAGGAAAATGAAATACAGAGCAATAAAATCGTTTGGCCAAGGCAGTTCTGATATAAAAAACTCTTTCCTCTCTCTTCCAAGATCTAGCCCCTGCCCACCAGGAATGCACTGACTACAAGTCTATTTCCCAAAGAACCAGCCTATATGCACAGAAACCTTTATAAGACAGATCCAATAAAACCACTTATTCCTGGCTTTCTTGGTTTTTAGGCAAACGATCTCTGTTTGCTGTCTGGTACCATTTCCATGAAGAGCTCTTGTTCATTTCCCTTTCTCTTATTCCCTCATATAACTATGAATTACCAGATTGAAAAGTGGGCAGTCTCTGTGTTTACATGTCTTCTGTGTTTCTCATTACCAGGATACACCATGTGGATGCTCCAAAGAAAACTTGGCACTGCGGTCTTCTTAATATTATGAAGATGTCTAGTTAAGGTAAAAAAAAACCATACATATATAATTTTTATTTATATACTATATATATATATAAAATTAAAGTTTCTTTTACTTGTTCTATACTCAAGTGTTTGTGGTTTGCAGAAACATGTTGGAGGGCAAGGTGGGAGAGTGCGCAAAAACTGACATTATTTTTCTTTTTGCAAGATCCTGTAGATTAGAAAGTAGCATTCTCAAGTGACTCCTGTCAGTAGGGTCTGTCACAGCTGGTAGAGGTGACTGATATTATATGTGCAGATCTCTTTGGCTTGAATGAATTGGTTTTCTTCCTTGTGAAGCATTGTTTTTAGTCTTTGGAGAAGCGTGAAGGAAAGGGCTGTGCCTTTATTTGCAATGCAGAGGGAAGTTCTGGCACTTAGAAAGTTCATATAGATAGGATCCTCTCTGTTTAAGTTGACTAAAATAGATTATAATCTATTTTCAAGCTATATTGAAGGAAATGGAGGTAAATTGTTTGGTGTATATGAGAAAAATGTTCCTCCTACCCTCTTAGGTTTAGTGCTTGGGATTTGCAAATTAATTTGAAAAAACACACCACACCAACAGATTAACAGGACAAAATGTTTATTTATGCATGCAGTGAGCACACCCATGGAGAGCTTAGTGATGAGTATTTCAAAGGAGTAGTTAAATTTGGGGACTTCTATCCTTAACTTTGTAGGGGAATGGGATAGAGCAAAAAAGGCTCCTTTGGGGAGAACTAGTAAGTTTCTCCAGAAAAAAGAAGTGGGTTTTTTTGGAGAACAAAGGGGAGAGAATAATGTTTGTGATCATGTTTGTCTGTACAGGTACGAGTGGTCTTCCTGTCTTCCTTAGGGCCATAAAACTTCCCGAGAGAGAGGCTTTATGGTACATTTACTCTTGGTCTCTCTGGGAGCAGATCCACCCCAAAGAGGGACTTTATGGCACTCCTCATTTTTCAGACGTTTCTGTCCTCATTCTGTCATATAAGGGAAACTTTAAGAAGGCTTATTTCTGCATTTGTTGAATCTCAAATGTCTCCAGGTTAAAATAATCGTTATACTAATTCAGGGGTTCCACGTGGGTTCACCTATTGACAACAGAAGATATTCCTGCACTTGCCTTTTTGTGTGTGTGTGTTAACATTTTATAGTCTGCTATCTTTTTAGCTTTGAGTGACTAATATTTAGCAAGGCATATGTGAAAATACAATATCATATTTTAACAAGAACTCATGAGGATGATTTGGTATTCTCAGCTTTTTCACATTTCAGTCCTTGATATACATCACAGCTTTAAGAAAGAAAATTCCCAAGGAGACTGTGCTGTGTCCCTGTGATGGTGACACTTTCAGGTTACAAAGAAGAAAGAGGTATATAAGTTATATCAGCTGATGGGGAATTATTTTTAAAGCACCTGAAAAAGTGAGGAAACAGAAGAAACTATCTATGCAATAATAGTCAGGCTTTATGAAAAACAGGAATAATATTCAGCATATAATAGTGACCCAAAGATATAGCCCAGACCATTTCATCTCGCTATCCCTTTATAACTGCTGAGAACCTCTTCTGACTGCAACCAGTCCTTCACACTTGTAACTCTGAGAGAGATGAGCCTCGCCCTCCACTCCCACTATTACAGCTGCCCCTGCTCTGCCTTAGCTTCTGTGCCATGCTGAAGTGCACCACACATTTATATTCCCAATGCAAAAGCATCACATTGAGTCGGTTTGTCACTGTCCATTACAAGACATTCTAGTGGGAAGGGTCCCTATTGAAACAGTCTCTAGTTCCCTGGACTCCTTCATGTCTAACACACAGCTGTCAATAGCTGTTGTGTAAGTACATGGTCCAATGATTCGTGGCCAGGGTAATAAACAAGTCTACATGGCTTAAACGTGATAAGGTGGAAGAAACCATCATTGGCTTCTTTCCCAGGAAGGGGCTATGTGAATGTAAGGCACTTGCAGAAGAACTCTTATTCTTTGGGATGTTGGGTTTCTGGTCTGATCCGACCTGATTGATGATTCCCCATGTATTGTGATGTTCTTTAGGAACACCAGNGAACTCTTATTCTTTGGGATGTTGGGTTTCTGGTCTGATCTGACCTGATTGATGATTCCCCATGTATTGTGATGTTCTTTAGGAACACCAGGATGGCAGAATTTCCTTGGTTCATATGTGAGGATATGACTGAAACCTGTTTGGACCAGTCCAATCAAAAACCTACCATTTGAATAGGAAAACAAAAACTTGGATCATCAAAACTTAAAGGCAAGCTACAACTCTGTATTATAAGGAACAACCTAAGGGACAACCTAAGGAAAGGGAGGAGCACTTATGAAGGAACCACAAGAAGATACTTGAGAGGAGAAATGTCCAGGGAGAGAGATCTAGATGATCCTATGCTTTTCCATAGGGTTAGCTTCTAGAAAAGACTGGGATTTGGAGCAGGGGGACATAAAAGGAACAATAAGATGCTCTTTCCTACAACTACGAGGTCGAAATTCTTTGAGTAGACAATGAAAGGCAACTTCAATAACCCTTGATTTATCCATCCCAAAGGATCAGAGAGTGGATCAAGACAGAAGAGACTTTAGTGGGAATGCCTAGAGAGAGGATGACTCAGGGACTTAATGAGTTTCTAGAAGGAAAGTTGTCCTAATCTCCCTTGCCTCCCTCTACCCAGCCTTCTAGTGACTTGGAGCAACCTAAGACAGCAAATACTACTATTCCTCCACTTGTTCTCAAGTATTCTTCTGTAAAAATAAAACAATGCCAGACATTTTCTTTCACAGAAAATAATAAGTTAATGGATAACATTTTTTCAGTTTGAAACTTCACTCCTCCTGTTTTCTCTTGAAGCTCTGGGGCCTGCTCTTATTCAGCCTTCCATGTATACCTGCCAATGACCAAATTAATAGAAAAGCCACAAATAATGTTAATGGAAAGACTCAAAGATAGGTAACCATGCCTAGGTCATGATGTATTTATTAATATATTTGAATTGCCTTGCTCTAGTTTTCTGTTTCATTTATTCACAGCAATCTAGTCACATTTTCTGCTGATGAAAGTCATATCTATTTCAGATACTGGGATTAACTATATCTTTTATACTGGGGCTGTGCAATGATCATGGTGTTCTGCCACCTGGACAATGTACAGAACCACTGTTCAGGGTCATAGTTTCCATATGTGACTTCCATGTGTGGATAGAATATTTGTTATTGTTGATTGTATTTCCAATAACCTCTTTCTACAGCATTTCATTAAGAGTTCTCACATGTAAGAGGCTATGTTTGGCAAGATTTAACAGAGAATTTAGACTTGCAATATGATAGCCTATAGATAGCCCAAACCCATTGAGACACATGGCAAATTCAAGGAAATGTCAACTCAATGAGTTGTCCAGATGTTCAGGAGATGAGTACCCCCTTTAAGAAACTATCCCAGAATGACCTTGTTATTGCCCTTATAAAATGGAGGCTAAAAACACTTCATGACCAGTTGACAAGCCTAGAAAAGGAACCAGAGAGTTGGTCAAAAACATTTCTTGAGTATCTGCTATGTGCCTTAAGGATGAGCTCAGCTGAGGAGAAATGTCTCTGGGCTGATCTTTTGAATCGAAAGAGCCAGTTTATAGGAGGAAGGACCCAGGATATGAATTATATCAAGAAGCCTGCAAATTAATGGACTTGGGTAAGAATTCTCCACATGAGATCTGGATGGTGAAACCTATGTCTGGATCCAGGGAGCCAGCTTACCTGAAAGGCTAATGCCAGAAATCAGATTTTCAAAGACTGGCTAGAGAGATGGAAATTTTATTTGGGTAGTCAAACCATTGAACTCCAAGTCAAAGACCTGTAGAGACAGCCAGCCAGGTGTTAAGCAACATAAACCAAATGTAAACTCTAAGTCTGAAGGATAAGACTTTCCTTTAGAAGAAGAAAGAAGAGGGAGAGGGGAGAGCCAAGGGTCAAAAAGGAAATGTCTATCATTTATGGATCACTTACCATTTGAGTACCAGCCACTGTTTAATATTTAAACATATTAACTCATTTAAATGAGAATGGTATTAATATTGTCCCTATCTTTTAGATGAGAAAATTGAGGCACAGAGTTCAAGTAACTTTCCCAAGGTCATACAACTAGGAAGCTGTTGGGCTGGAATTTGACCTCAGGTAATATGGCCCCAGAACCCATTTTCCCAATGGCCACAGTACATTGACTGTGCAATTTCAAAGGAATTGATTTGGATCTGGCCTTGAGCAAAGGAGGAAAATTCAGGATGATTCAAACAAAATCAAGTCTTTAGTTTGCCTTTATAGGCCTGTGTATGTGGCCAGTGTGTGTGAGGTAGACTTGAAGTTGGAGCAACCAGTTAGAGAGCTCTGGGAGAATCATCTCATAGTTAGGAATTCTCTGGCAAGGAGCTTTTGCAAATTTGGAGCTTATCACATTTCTGAGTGTATGTTTACTATGAGGTACTTCTCTGAAGATCCCTTCCCCATTTGCATTTTCTGCCACTGGATTATCTTTCATGTGGTGTGTCTATCAGTCAGTCCTAGCAGATACACTCAAGGTTAGCATCTACTCTGTTCAGACAGGAGCTGAGCCACATCTGTCTGCCAACATCAGGGTATTCTGTACTGAGTTGAGGCCAGCCCCATGGCTCCAATACTGACAAACAAGCCACATGATTCAATCACCTCCAAGTTGGCGCCAGGTGTCCTCAGCCTTCAATTGCATTTCCTGTCCTTGTCTGAGCACAGGGTTGGCTGAGGTGACCCTCTCTCATGCTTATGAAACAGAAGGCCTCACAAGTCTTTCTCTCTGGACTTGCTCCTAGGAGACCATCCATTTCCTGAGGTGCTGCATGAGAATTTTTGCAACTCTAGTTCTATAAGAAATGACTTTTGAGATTGCAGCTTGTATTCAAAACCTTAAACTAAGACTCGGAAAATAAGGCTGGCTTACCACTGCCTCTCCACCTAGTACCACTTTTGT